TTAGTTAATAAGATTTATAATCTTAGAATGGGAAACACTTTTTGAAGCATGATTTTAAAACCCAGAAGTGAAAATAAAGTAGTGAGATTGATTCCAAAAGATCTAAAATGTCTGTCCAGGAAAGAGGAAAAAAACTCTCCTGATTTAGACTCTGAGGAGAAATTAATTGATCCTATCTTTTCCATCTATCTTCTTCCCAGTGGAATTGTGTGAATGACCTATGGCCAGGCTCTATGGAACAAGACAAGCTTATCAGAACTTACAGGGTGAGATCATATCCTTTGGCAAAGCCCTGTCACTGGGTTAATTATTTCAATAATAGTGGTTTGGGTTTTTAAAATTATTTATTTTTATTTTTTATTTTGTGAGACAGAGTCTCGCTCTGTCGCCCAGGCTAGAGTGCAGTGGCGTGATCTTGGCTCACTGCAACCTCCACCTCCCAGGTTCAAGTGATTCTCCTGCCTCAGCCTACCAAGTAGCTGGGATTACAGGCATGTGCCACCACTCTCGGCTAATTTTTGTATTTTTAGTAGAGACAGGGTTTCACCATTTTGGCCAGGCTGGTTTGGGTTTTTAAATGACGTTATTGAGATATGCTTCACATACTCTGAAGTTCACCTATTTAAAATGTACAATTAAGTGGTTTTGGTATGTTCACAAAGTTGTGCAGCCATTACAACTATAATTTTAGAATATTTTTGTCACCCCCCAAAGAAGCCCCATACCCATTAGCAGTTCATTCCCCATTCCTCCCTCCTGCCAGGCCTAAGCAACCACCCCTCTACTTTCTGTCTCTATAGATTTTCCCATTCTGGCCATTTCATATCAATGGAATCATACAACATGAACCTTTTTCCTTTAGTGTGATGTCCTCAAGGTTCTTCTGTATTGGAGCACACATCAAAATTTCTTTCCTTTTTTTTGGTTTCTTGAGATGGAGTCTTGCTCTGTCACCCAGGCTGGAGTGCAGTGGCTCGATCTCGGCTCGCTGCAAGCTCCGCCTCCCAGGTTCATGCCATTCTCCTGCCTCAGCCTCCTGAGTAGCTGGGATTACAGGCGCCCGCCACCTCGCCCGGCTAGTTTTTTGTACTTTTAGTAGAGACGGGGTTTCACTGTGTTAGCCAGGATGGTCTCCATTTCCTGACCTTGTGACCTGCCCACCTCGGCCTCCCAAAGTGCTGGGATTACAGGCATGAGCCACCACACCCAGCCCAATTTCTGCCCTCTTTATTGCTGAATAATATTTCATTGCATGGATACACCACATTTTATTTCTCCGTTCATCAGCTGATGAACATTTGGGGGTGTTTCTTCTGTTTGGCTATTATTATAATGTTGTTATTCATGGGCGAGTTTTTGTGTGAACACGTGTTCATTTCTCTTGGGTCTAGCGGTGTTTTTTTTTTTTTTTTTTCCTTTTAAAGATTTACCCAAGAATTTACATCTATCTATCTATCTCTCTCTCTCTCTCTCTCTCTCTCTCTGTCTGTCGGTTGGTCTATCTGCCTGTCTGTCTGTATATATGTACTCACCCCCACCCTGCCCACCATCATAACCTCATAGAGAACCAAGCAGATCTGGGTTCTAAAGACCTCAGAGCTCTTACAATCCTGGCCTGGAACCTTCTGTGTAAGGGTCACGACTCACTCTCACTATGCCTCAGTTGTGCCATCAGTGGAAGGAATGTGCGAACACCAGCTCTTTCACACTGCCACGGGATATTGTAAAGATAAAGGAAGTGACGTAAATCAATAGGATCTACTCTTTCCAAGATACGAAGCTATATGAATAGGCTGGTGTGCATCAAAGAAACAAGATACACTTCAACCAAAAGTTTTGCCAGCACAAAGATGACTGCATCAGCCAAGAGTCCAGTGGCTTGATATGGGGGCATAGATGGTACAAGAAATCACCAATATATTCTCAAGATTTTGGTTTTCTTTGAGATCAGAATGCGGTTGCCTTCCAAATCCTGCCAGCCACCCTCTGAGGGAGGGCCCCAGCTTGGTCACCCTGGTCGGGGGTAGGAGAAAGGGCAGGGCCATACTATACTGACTGGCAGCCCAAGGGGCAAGCTTAAATTCTAAAGCCTACCCTCTAACCAACGTTTCCCACAAAGACCACCCTACCCCCATTTAATTAAAAAATACCCTACTCTCTGCAGAGTCCCAGAGGCACCTTTTTTTGTGAAATCCCTGACATTCCTGTAGGCTCTGGGGCAGGGAGTGACCCCCTCACCCCTGGGTAGAATCTAATAAGAACTTCCCAGTAGAGGTACTGGGCACCCAGGTGGCAGAAGAGGGGTCTAAAATATATGTACTTCTTCCTGCTCTCTGACCAATCACCTGTGTCCTTTGCTCTTTAAACTCAGGCAGCAGGAAATTCTACTGATAGGTTTGTAAATGGTTAGTGGAATAGAAAATGAGAAGGTGGCATCCTGGGTTATAATCCCCACATCACCACTTACTACATGTATAATTTAGGACAAGTAACTCATTTCTTTGAGGCTCGGTTTACTCATCTGTTAAATGGGATAATAGCAGTACTTGCCTCGTAGGGTCATTGTGAGGATTACCTGAGATGATGCCTGTAGGGACTCCAGCATACCCTCTGTGTTTGCTATGGTTATTATATTACTTCTAAAGTCAGAATTAAGGACCTCAAGGCTGGGCATGGTGCTTATGCCTGTAATCCCAGCACTTTGGGAAGCCGAGGTGGGGGTGGATCACCTGAGGTCAGGAGTTCGAGACCAGCCTGGCCAACATGGCAAAATCTTGTCTCTACTAAAAATACAAAAATTAGCTGGGTGTGGTGGTGGGTGCCTGTAATCCCAGCTACTTAGGAGGCTGAGGCAGGAGAATTGCTTGAACCTGGGAGGCAGAGGTTGCAGTGAGCCAAGATCTCACCATTGTACTCCAAGCTGGGTGACCAAGCAAGACTGTCTCAAAAAAAAAAAAAAAAAAAAAAAAAAGAAAAAGAAAAAGAAAAAGAGAATTAAGGACCCCAAGTAATCCATCCATTCTCCCTAATCTATTTAGGAAGACTCATTTTCTGTTGGTCAATTAATTGGATGCACTTAAGCACCTAGTATTTATTAGCTACCACATACTAGCGGGCTCGGGGATGAAACTTAATTTTCCTCCAAGAATGGAGAATTCAAGCTGTGAGAGAAACTAAGATACGTGAAGTTCTTAAGGAACATGTAAACAGTAAACTGCAATCCTGACAGTCAAAGCCGTTCTAATTCAGAGAGTGGAAACAGCAGGACAGTCTGGAAGGGCCAGATAAGGCCTCAGAGGGGAGGCAGCACCAAGGCAGGCCCTCACAAGGCAAGATGAATTCACGCAGAAGAGGAGAGGGAGACAGAACTGGGGGCAACGGTGGGTGAGAGGGAAGGGAGACCCATGTGAGCATGGGCAATGTGGGAGCCCAGGTGGGTCTGGACCTGGTGCATGGTCTGGGGGCTAAGCCACAGACCACCCTTCTTGTATCTTTCCTACTCTCAGGGATCTCTAGGAGTAACATGCCATGGAGTCTTTTAGTCACTTGTTCCACTAATAATTATCCTTCCTATGAGAACTTTTGTCACTAATACATTTTTATGGCATGTAAGAGGGAGGAGCTGCTATCAGATAAGCTTTGAGTCAATCTAGACCATTGCAAAAAAAGCGACATAGAGTGGCAACCATTGACTTCAGCCACCCTGCATCTAACCCCCTTTGTCCTGCGATGAGAACTCTGATCATTTCTGGGGAAACACCCCTTCATTGCTTTCAGTCCATGAAGTTTTGGGGATAGGAATGACTCCACATCCATGGCAAGGATGGGCACAATACCCACATTGGTTCTATGAGATTGACCCTGAGATTCTAGCTAGAACTAGAAAGGGAAGCACCTGTTCTTGTACGGTGCTGTGCTAGTAGGATGTCAGCTGGGAGCTGCTGCAGCCCTCTGGCCATAGCAATGGGCAGGTCTTCCTGGAAACAGAAGGACACAGGGGAAGCAAAGCCAAGAAATGGAAAGACAGATTCACGATGCCATCATCTAGGCCCCTGGATCTCACTATACCAAAACCTTGCTTTTTCAGGCACATGAGTTAAAAAAAAAAAATCCTCTTTTTGCCTAAGTCTCTTCAAACTGGGTTTCAGTCCATGGTTACTAAATGAATTCTGACTTATTCAAGCAATTACTTTGTTCCTACCAGAATTTTGTTGGTTGCTTCTTAGCATGGGTATTTGTAGTCCATAGCCCAGGGGCAGATTGCGTCCAGGATAACAGTTTGTGTGTGGAAGTGATAGTGGCGTCTATCCATATCCCTAAATGGATATAGGTACATGTGATATGCAGAGGCATTAGAGGGGAGACCGAAGCTGCAAAATCTGTTTCTCCTCTTTGTCTCTGAAGTCTGTGTACAGAGCAATTTCCCCCAAACCCCTGATTTTATTCCTCTTGTTTTCAACCAGAGAAAGGAGTTCTTGGATCTGTTAAGTATATTTTGCAGGGCTCTAAGAAATCAGGAAGAGATGGGAAAGGGAGGTGTTGGGGAAAAAGAGGCTCTGCATGTCCCATTTTTGTTTTTTTCCTTTTTGCCAACAACAAAGAATCAGCTGGCATCCTCTTATTTTCTATTTCATGCAGTGCTTTTTAAAATGAAGCATTAAGTCTACTGTAATGGGATTTGTCTAATGATTTCCTGGTAAACGTCTTCTTGGATCTCAGCAAAGATAATTCACTTAGTAGGAACCACTTCCTGCTTCCCCACTGAGAACTAGACCTACCCAGTTCTTGCTGGGAGTAAATTGGCCTTTGAATGAGAGAAGGCAGTACAGGAATATTTCACTCTAGCATTCATCACATAGACTCAAGCTTGCCACAGACCCAGATCAGGGAGGAGAAAAGGAAGGGGTGGGTGAGGGAGAACGTTCATGCTGAGCACAAGCATGAAGTCAAGCAGAAAGTCTGTAGCAATCTGAGCCCTTTGCAGAAACAGATGCACTCACCTCTTTGCCTTGGCTCTGGGGTGCTTTCTTTCTGGGGCAGTGACAGCTTCTGCAACGTCCACACTGTTCTACCAGGACGGCTGCAGGCAGGCTGCTGCAGGAGGAAGGGAGTTCCCATTCACCATCAGAAGGGAGTGTCCTCCCAGAAAAGGAGGCGATGCCCTGATTCCCCTGGAGCGAAGGCTGTTGGATCCACTTGTCCTCTCTCTCCAGCTCCCTTTCTGGTATGAATGGAGCTCAGAGGAACCCCATGAGAAGAGCTGAGTGAAACCACACACCATACCCACCCTGCTAGTAAGTTGGCCTCCCAGCCTTGGGGATCCTAGAGAGGAAGGTAGCGGAGTGGGTCATGAGGCATTTGGGTCCTTACAAGTGCAGCTGACACTGGTATGCCCACAGAAAGGCCAAGGACAAGCACTGTGTATTTATTTCTCCCCCTCTCATGTGATCTTATTTTTGGACTGGACACAAAAGCTATTTGGGGGCTGGACAGCTGCCAGGTGAAAGGACAATGATCTCATCCGAGTTCTCTCCATGTCTCTCTCTGCACTAGTCCCTGTTACCTTTCCCAATATGAGGCAGAAGGGAGCGGGTTTTGCTCCGAGCCTTACTTTCAGTACATCCAAGCAATGTGTCCAACTTAACATTTTTCTTCAATTCTGCTACCCTTTGAGGTTTCTCAAAGGATCAGTGTAATGAAGGAAGTCCTTACTTTTATGTCTGATGCAGGTGTTTCTGAGTCTGGTGGTCGTGTCGTACAGTCATCATACACACTATTTTAGATGCAAACATCTTCTAATCAACACCAGGATGGGAGCCCCCACCCTGGAAGGCAGGTGTGGGCAACGCTACAGAGCTAGGCTCTCAATGTGTTGATTCTGCCTTCCGCCCTGGCTGTTTCTGCCTCTGGCTCCTAGGCTTATAAAACTTACAACATTGAGACAGCTCGATTTTTCGCCTCTGATCCTTCCTTTTCAGACGTGAATGGAAAGTTTTGAAAATGTCATGCCTGGCAAGATGCCAATTCAATATCATCCTCTTCACCATTATCACTGTTATTTGCTGGGATCTTTCTTGCTGAATGTCCTTAATTTGCAGAGTACTTCTGCATTCTCGCATTTAATCCTTACAACACCCCTGCCAGGAGGGTAAGATCGCTCCTATTTAATATCCAGGGAAGCTGAGGTTTGGAAAGGCTCCTCACCTAACCTTTGGAGAGGGTAGAGTGGGATGGGAACTCCCCACTGTCTGAGCTCTTGGCCACTTTGCCCTACTCCCTCCTGAAGATGTGAATTGTTGACATTTCACTGTTGTTTTCGCTTCATAAGAGAGAAAACAAAACCCTTGGGCTTGATTCAGACCCACAACTTCAATCCTTGATTTCTGTCCCAAATCCAGTTATTGAAGGGGTGAGGAAATGAGGTTTTCATCTGTTTACAGTCCCAGGCCCTGATTCTAGGTACAGGACGGAGTCTCTGGCCACCATGCTCGTTGGAGCCATTTTCCTGTGAATAATTCACTGTGCAAACACATGCACCAGAGAGGACCGGGCTGGGCTGCCCAGGCTGAGTTCCCACCGTATCCAAGCTGGACTGCACTTTCCACTACCCTGAAAAAGAGATAGCGAGATTGAGCCAACAGCTTGTCCAACACTGCCCTCTGCAGGTCACTAGGCTGCATTACCCCAGATAGAAGTCTTCAAGGCTTTCCAAAGAGGCGGGCCACACCAAGGATTATTTTTAGAGAATCAGTTTCCAGGTTCTCCATTTCTGCAGCTACTCTTTCCTAAACCTGGTTTGCCTGAGCACGTGTGTGTGTTCATAATCCTTCCCCAACTGTATGAAAGGAAACCATACCTGTCACTTTTCACAAATCTTACTAAGGTGACATTGCCCCAAGTATAAAAATCTCAAAGTCCCCAAACTAGGAACTTCCTTTAATACTTTAATTCAGCCTCTTTTAATGATTAATTAAGTATTTTTTAATTTAACCACTTTGCTTTTCCTCCCTTGAATATTGAGGGACAGAACTGTGGAAGCAAATCAAAGAGAATATTAGAAATAATAACAGATTAAGGCCGGGCGTGGTGGCTCACACCTGTAATCCCAGCACTTTGGGAGGCCGAGGCGGGCGGATCACGAGGTCAGAGATCGAGACCATCCTGGCTAACACGATAAAACCCCATCTCTACCAAAAAAAAAAAAAAAAATACAAAAAATTAGCTGGGCGTGGTGGCGGGTGCCTGTAGTCCCAGCTACTTGGGAGGCTGAGGCAGGAGAATGGCATGAACCCAGGAGACAGAGCTTGCAATGAGCTGAGATCATGCCACTGCACTCCAGCCTGGGCAACAGAGCAAAACTCAGTCTAAAAAAAAAAAAAAAATAACGGATTAATAGGTACACTTAAAGAATGATGTCACAGTTTAAATTTTTTTTTTTTTTTTAGACAGAGTCTTGCTCTGTTGCCCAGGCTGGAGTGCAATAATGCAATCTTGGCTCACTGCAGCCTCTGCCTCCCGGGTTCAAGAGATTCTCCTGCCTCAGCCTCCTGGGTAGCTGGGATTACAGGCACCTGCCACCATGCCCAGCTAATTTTTGTATTTTTAGTAGAGATGGAGTTTCTACTAAATCATGTTGGCCAGGCTGGTCTCAAACTCCTGACCTCAGGTGATCCACCCACCTTGGCCTCCCAAAGTGCTGGGATTACAGGCATGAGTCACCGCACCCGGCCCACAGTGTCTATAGTGGATGTGGATTCAGTTGTTGATTCATTCACGCATTCAGCAAATACTTACTGAGTGCCCACTATGTTTGAAACACCATTCTGGGCATAGTTGAAGCCCAGCAGTCACCCATTAACCAAAAATTACCACCTCAAATAGCTGGCCTGGTTGTGTTTCTTTGTTACCCAGCTTAAAATTTTTACCATTAGAATGGTGGCAAAGCTGGTCTTATTGCCTGCAGAAAGAAGATGTTGAAATGCTTGGATAGTATTTGCAAGGATGGTCACTGAAGAATTGTTTGCAATTGTGGAAACAACCTAAGTGTCAACAGAATGGTTGCCTAACTGTGATACAGTGGTACTATGGCATACTAAGCTGCCAATAAAAAAGAAAGGCAACTCTCTCTCTCTCTCTTTTTTTTTTTTTTTTTTTTGAGATGGAGTCTCCCTCTGTCGCCCAGGCTGGAGTGCAGTGGCACCATCTCGGCTCACTGCAAGCTCCACCTCCCGGGTTCAATTGATTCTCTTGCCTCAGCCTCCCGAGTAGCTGGGACTATAGGCGCCCGCCACCACGCCTGGCTAATTTTTTGTATTTTTAGTAGAGACGGGGTTTCACCGTGTTAGCCAGGATGGTCTTGTTCTCCTGACCTTGTGATCTGCCTGCCTTGGCCTCCCAAAGTGCTGGGATTACAGGCATGAGCCACCACACCCGGCCAAGAAAGGCAAATCTCTTTGTAGTAACATGGAAAACAACCATGGATATATTATCAACTGGAATTTTTTTCAGAATTGCAGGTAGAATATGATTGATGCAATGTGTGTTTTTTTAAATTGGTGTGTGTGTGTGTATGTGTGTGTGTGTGTGTGTGTTTGCATGTGCATGCAGTTGCTGGAGAAATTCTCACCAAATCCTTTTTTTAAAAAAAAACAAAAACGAAAACAAACGAATGAACAAAAAACGGAGTCTTGCTCTGTCGCCCAGGCTGGAGTGCAGTGGCATGATCTCGGCTCACTGCAAGCTCTGCCTCCCAGGTTTACGCCATTCTCCTGCCTCAGCCTCCCAAGTAGCTGGGATTACAGGCACCCGCCACCACGCCCGGCTAATTTTTTGTATTTTTAGTAGAGACAGGGCTTCACCGTGTTAGCCAGGATGGTCTTGATCTCCTGACCTTGTGATCCACCTGCCTTGGCCTCCTAAAGTGCTGGGATTACAGGTGTGAGCCACCATGCCTGGCCCTCACCAAATTCTTAATAATGTCTGCCTCTAGAGAGTGAGAAACAAAAACAAAACCTGTAATCTGTTCACTGGTAGTAGCTCTCTACCTAATTCCACCCTTTCACACTGATCAACTTCTTCCTGGTTCATCTCCATTGTTATCAGTAGTCAAGTCAGTCACCAACTTCTGGAGATCCTTCAACTTGTAGGATATATCCAGTAAATATCCAATATTTACTGTGAAATCCATGTCCCTTTAAAACTTGCCTCTAGCCAGTCTTCATAAGCTCTTCTTGGGAGCTGCTTTCTCTGCCTCAGCCACAATTCCTATGCCCATCTCCCTGGGACATAAGCCAGTGAACTCACCAGGACTGTATTATACCATATTCTTTCAAAACAGGCTCACCTCTGTGCCTGGAAAACAGACCATCTTTTTTTCTATGTGTATTAGTAGAAAAAAGGGTGACACGCCTGTGATCATAAATAATCCCCACATCTCAGTGGCTTAAAATAACAAAGGCTCATTTGTCACTCACAGATGGGCATGTCTGTCCATTTGCAGGTAGGTTGGGAAGCTCCATTCTGTATCATCCTCACTCAAGGACCTGGACTGAAGGATTTCTGCTTTCGAGAAGAAAAAAAAAAGAAGACATGTTTACTAATACACTGGTAATTATTTCGATTCATATTTTATTGGCCAAAGCGAGTCATATGGGTATACAACATAAAATGAGGTGCAGAATTTCAATCCTGTCATTTGCTTGGAAAGTAGAGAGTCATATTTGGAGAACATGAGTTCTATAATTGTTGGATGTAGTAATCCATGTCCACTAAGTCGAGTTTGCTAATCATGTTTAAATAATCTATATCTTACTCATGTATCTGTTGACATCTTTCAGTTTTGTCAATCTTAGTTTTATATTTTTGAAGCTATATTATGTGTACAAGTTTTATAATCATTGTACTTTCTCATGAATTAAACTTTTTATCATTATGATAATGCTTTTTGCCTTAAAGTCTACTTTGTCTAATATTAATATAGATAACATTAATATAATTTTTGTTAATATTTATATTTTTCCACTCTTTAATTTCAACATTATAATACAAATGTCTTAGGTATGTTTCTTACAAACAGTATGCAGATTTTTATCCAATTCAATCTTTGATTTTAATTGAACTATTTGATTTATTTACATTTAGTGTAATTACTGATATATTTGAATTTAAATATAGCATCTTATCGTTTTCAATCGTCCCACGTGCTCTCTGTTCTCTTTATCCTCACTTTTTGCCTGCTTTTGGAAAATATTGTTTTTGCTTCCGTTGTTTTGGAAGTTGCATATCTTTTTAGTAGTCTTTTAGAGGTTATCCTATAGATCACAGTATGCGTCTCTGAGTTAGCAAAGGCTAATAGTGTTAATTGGTACTTTCATTTCATCCTCTAAATACAAGGACCTCAGAACGTTTCAATTCATTTACTTCCTCTCCTGATTTGTATGCACTTTTAATATATTTTAATTTTTTAAATCTTCAGCAGTGTGTTACATTGTTTCATACAGTATAATTCATTTAGACTTCCTCAAATAGACCTTCATGCTAGACTTCATTTCTTTCTGCATCTATATAACCTATTATTCTTAATCATCTTCCTTCTGCTTAAAGAACATTCTTTAGTATTTGATGCTAGTAAAGAATCCCGAAAATGTCTTAATTGCACTTTTATTAATGAAGGCTATTTTCACTGGACATAGAATTCTAGAGTTGACAGTTATTTTATTTCGGCACTTCAAAGACATTTAAATTCCACTAATTTCTAGTTTCCATTGTTTCTATCAAGAGGTAAGCTAACAGTCTCTTACATTTTTTCAGGTAATGACAGCCGCTTGTAATTTGTTTTTTTCTTCCTTTGTCTTCAACTATCTTATTGTGATACACCTAGGTGGGGCTTTTAAAAATTTCTCCTGCTTGCAGCTCCCAGGGCTTCTGAGATTTGTGGCTTGTTGTCTTAATTAATTTTGGTAATTTTTCAAGTATTTTCTCTTCAAATATTGATGCTGCACCATTCTCTTTCTCTTCTCCTTCTGAAATGTTAATTCTCATTTTATCTCCATATCTCTTCCTCTCTGTAGCATTGCTATCCTTTTGTCTTTCCATGTTTCATCCTGATGTTTTCTTCTAACCTACTTTCCAGTTCATCAATTTTCCCTACAGCTGTGTATATTTTTTTTGTTAAACCAAGTAAAGAGCATCCACTGAGCTCTTCGCTTTTGTTAGTATATTTTTAAATTCTAAATTGCTCATTGGTTATTTTTTAAATCTTTTTCATCCTGTTTTAAAGTTTTCAGTCCTCTGCCAAATTTGTTGATATTGTCTTTTATCTCCTTATGTGTAGTAAACATAATTAATTTCAAGTATGTATCTGATAAATCCATTAACTGGAGTTCTGTGGGATTGTTTCTACTGTAGTTGTTTCTACTGGATCTCATGTTTTCTTATTTCTTTATGTGCCTGGTTATTCTCTTGTGTGCTAAAATTATATATGAAAAGTTGTAATGTAAAACTTATTGTGTTATATTCCTCCTGAGAGTAACAGTCATCCCTTAGTATCCACAGCAGGATTTGTTCCAGGACCTACTGCAGATAACAAAATCCATGTAGCTTTCATTCCCACAGTCAGCCCTGTGGAATCCATGGATATAAAATGTTGGCCCTCCATATATGAGTGAATTTGGCATCCTGCAACTACTGTCTTCTATATTTATGTTTGGTTGCAGATGCAGAATTCACCAAAGCCTAATCCAGAGCAGGGCCCTAACTCTCTTCAATTCTATGAAGGCTAAGAGAGCCAAGGAAGCTGTAGAAGAAAAATTGCAGACTGGCAGGGGTTGGTTTATGAAGTTCAAGGAAATAAACCATTTCCATAACATAAAAGTATAAGATGAAGCAGCAAGTGCTGATGTAGAAGCTGCAGCAAGTTATCCAGAAGATCGAGCTGAGATCATGGATGGTGGTGGTTACACTAAACAACAGAGTTCCAGTGTAGACGAAACAGCCTTCTATTGGAATAAGATGCCATCTAGGACTTTCATAGCTAGAGAAGAGTGGGCTGACTATATTTATTTTTAAAATCCATGTATGGGCCGGGTGCAGTGGCTCATGCCTGTAATCCCAGCACTTTGGGAGGCTGAGGCAGGCGGGTCACCTGAGGTCAGGGGTTCGGGACCAGCCTGATCAACATGGTGAAACCCTGTCTCTACTAAAACTACAAAAATTAGCCAGTGTGGTGGCAGGCACCTGTAATCCCAGCTACTCAGGAGGCTGAGTCAGGAGAATTGCTTGGACCTGGGAGGCGGAGGTTGCAGTAAGCCGAGATCGTGCCATTGCACTCCAGCCTAGGTGACAAGAGTGAAATTCTGTCAAAAAACAAACAAACAGGCTGGGAGCAGTGGCTCAGGCCTGTAATCCCAGCACTTTGGGAGGCTGAGACGGGCGGATCACGAGGTCAGGAGATCGAGACCATCCTGGCTAACATGGTGAAACCCTGTCTCTACTAAAAAATACAAAAAACTAGCAGGGCGAGGTGGCGGGCGCCTGTGGTCCCAGTTACTCGGGAGGCTGAGGCAGGAGAATGGCGTAAACCCGGGAGGCGGAGCTTGCAGTGAGCTGAGATCCGGCCACTGCACTCCAGCCTGGGCGACAGAGCGAGACTCCGTCTCAAAAAAAAAAAAAAAAAAAAAAGAAGAAGTCATTTCAACTTTCAAGTCCTATTACTTAAGAAATGCATTTTTGAAGGCTATGTAGTTGTTACGGATAGTGATTTCTCTGATAGATCTGGGCAAAATCCATTGAAAACCCTCTGGAAAGAATTTACCATTTTAGATGCCCTTAAGAACATTCATAATTCATGGGAGGAGGTCAGAATATCAACATTAGTGGGAGTTTGGAAGAAGTTGATTCTAACCCTCACGGATGACTTAGAGGAGTTCAAGACTTCACTAGAGGAAGTCACTGCAAATGTGCTGGAAACAGAAAGAAAACTAGAATTAGAAGTGGAGCCTGAAGATGTGCCTGAATTGTTTCAATCTTGTAATGGCTAATATTGAGTGTTCACTGACTGGATTGAAGGATGCAAAGTATTGTTCCTGGGTGTGTCTGTGTGAGCTTCCCTAGTTTTGAGGTTTGGGGACTTGGACTGGTTTCCTTGCTCCTCAGCTTGCAGATGGCCTATTGTGGCACTTCACCTTGTGATCGCATGATCAATACTCCTTAACAAACTCCCTTTCATTTATACATCTATCCTATAAGTTCTGCCTCTCTAGAGAACGCTAATACAAATTTCATGATAAAACTTGAATGAAAGAGGAGCTGCTTCTTACGGATGAGCAAAGAAAGTGATTTCTTGAGATGGACTCTACTCCTGGTAAAGATGCCGTGAACATTGTTGAAATGACAACAAAGGATTTAGAATATTCCATAAACTTAGTTAATAAAGAAGAAGCAGCATTTGAGAGGATTGACTCCACTTTTGAAAGAAGTTCTGCTGTCATTAAATGCTATCAAATATGGCACAGAGAAATATTTTGTGAAAGGAAGAGTCCATTGACATGGCAAGCTTCATTACTGTCATATTTTAATAACTTGCCACAGCTATCTCAAACTTCAGCAACCACCAGTCTGATCAGTCAGTAACCATCAACATCAAGGCAAGACCTTCCACTAGGAAAAAGATTATAACTCACTGAAGGCTCAGATAATTAGCATTATTTTAGCAGTACTTTTAATTGAGGTATGTACATTTTTAGACATAATGCTGTTGCAGTCTTACTAGACTACAGTATAGTGTCAACAAAACTTTCATATGCACTGGGAACCAAAAATTTGTATGATTCACTTTGTTGCAATACTTGCCTTACTGTGGCAGTCTGGAACTAAACTCACAATATCTCCAAGGTACACCTGCAAATGGAGGCAATGGGCCGGGTATACATGCATATACATGCCTTATGTGAGGGGTGGGCACTGAGGTTAAATAGAAAGCATGAGCCCATTTTTGCCTTGTGGTAATAAGGGCCTCATGTTGCCACATTTTTCCATTTTTTTCAAAAGAAGTAGGAAAGGAAATGCAGGCTTTTAAAATGTGAAGTCCCAATTGTCAATTGTTGGTTCAAAAAAAATTTAACTCTCAACTAGCCAAATAAAATGCCTCTGGGGTCCATACCCAGCTACCCTATAGGATACTAGTTTAAAATATCTGGACTATAGTCTATGTTGATGGGAGAAGTGGGGTGAAAGTTGGCATTCCCTTGCCATTAACTTCTAGCCTCCCAGTAGTCCAGGCTGCTTTGAATAAACACCAGATCATCATACAAAACATATTTATTTATTTATTTATTTATTTATTTATGAGTTAGGGGTCTTGCTGTATTGCTCAGGCTGGAGTGCAGTGGCACAATCATAGTTCACTGAGGCCATGAACTGCTGTGCTTAAGTGATCCTCTCACCTCAGCCTCCTGAGTAGCTGGGACTACAGGTGTATGCCACCACACAAGGCTAATTTTAATTTGTTTTTGAGAGACAGAGTCTTGCTGTGTTGCCCAGGCTGGTCTTAAACTCCTGGCCTCAAACAGTCTTCCCACCTTGGCCTCTTCAAAGTACTAGGATTATAGGAGTGAGCCACTATGCTTGATCAAAACACAGTTTTTAAACCAATTTATGTCTTTACTGAAATCTCTTAAAAATGCCAAAGGGTGGAGTTTGGGTTCCATCCATAACACCAACATTTCTGAAGAATCCTCTTCTCTTGTCTCTTTCTCAAGTCGTCCTCATGACCTCTGTGTTAGTCCATTCTCACACTGCTATGAAGAACTGCCTGAGACTGTGTAATTTATAAAGGAAAGAGGTTTTAATTGACTCACAGTTCCACAGGGGTGGGAAGCCCTCAGGAAACTTTACAGTCATGGAGGAAGGGGAAGCAACCACATCCTTCTTGACATGGTGGCAGGAAGGAGAAGTGCCAAGCAAAAGGGAAAAGATTTTCATAAACCATCAGATCTCATGAGAACTCACTCGCTATCACAAGAACAGCATGGGGGTGTGTGGAGGAAAAGTTAAATCTTAAATGTGAACTCAATTGAACGTGGACACAAACAATGGTCACCAAGTCCTGGAACAGGTTGCATGAGCCCCTTGAGACATTCTTCCAGAAGGTTTCGGAGAAATCTGTTCCTGTACGTTAGTTATTGAAAAACAACAAACAATTACAAAAACAAGTTGACCTTTTTATGTTCCTTGAGTCCAGTCATGAAGGGCCCTCGTGACTGGGCCTCATGCCAAGTAACTCATTACAAAAAGAGCTAGGGTCCCAGACCGTGCCGAAGCTTCATGAGACCTCTCCTCATCTGTTCACGGATGAGTGGCCGACTCCGGAGCCCAGGCTATTGCTTCTGGTCTGGTGATGAATCCTCCATCGTCTGGTGAGTGTGTGTGTATATATATAGTCTATGTTGATGGGAGAAGTGGGGTGAAAGTTGGCATCCCCTTGCCATTAACTTCTAGCCTCCCAGTAGTCCAGGCTCTATCTCTCTATCTCTCTATCTCTCTCTCTATATATATATATCTTCTCCCTTCTCCCCTTCTCATTGCAATTTGATTATATCATTTGCTTATGATATCTGCATTGCCATTTACATGGAATAAAGGTTGCTTACCCTTAAAGGTATTGTGTGTGTGTCTTTTCTTTTCCCTTTGTGCATCTCCCTCACAGAACAGGGTAACTGCCCCCATGATTCAGTTGCCTACCACTACGTCCTTCCCACAACACGTGGGGATTATGAGAACTACAATTCAAGATGAGATTTGGGTGGGGACACAGCCAAACCATATCAACAGACCAGCCGCTACTTCAGTCCTCCTTAATTTACCTCTTGAATTCTCCCAAACCCAGCTCATCCCTGGCTCATTTCTCTTATTCTCTCTCTTGCCCTCTGATCCATTCTGCTTTCCTTAGTAGGTAACTTCCTGCCTTCTCTTAGGTAGACCCATCAACCCATCCTACCCATGGTACAATTCAGAATTCTCTCTCACATTTTCCCTTATTATGCACAAGAAATACTCCAGGGCCAGGTGCAATGGCTCACGCCTGTAATCCCAGCATTTTGAAGGCTAAGGCAGGAGGATCACTTGAGCCCAAGAATTCAAGGCTGTAGTTAGTTATGATGGCGCCACTGCACTCCAGCCTAGGCAACACAACAAGACACTATCTCAATTAAAAAAAAAAAAAAAAAAGAAAAAAGAAAGAAAAGAAAAAAAAGAAAAAGGAAAAAGAAATACTCCAGAACTTGGCTAGTGAAGACTAATTCCTCCTTCACAGGAAGGAAGTGGGGGCAGGGGAAAAAGATGCTGTAAATACTCTAAAATATGTACTTTTTCCTGTTCCATCAGCTATGCCATCTGGGATGGGGTGACGCCTGGATGAGATGTCATTTTAAAGGACATTTCTGGGACATGCTGGCATCAAGGCAAGTTTTCAGGTGGCTGCCATTTCCTTGTCACTTACCTTCTATGGACAGGACAGAGTCTCCACCCAAACCACCACCCTCCCACAAAAGCGGGAAGGAGAAGGCAGAAGGGAGAGAAATCAGACTTTTCCTGATTTGTCTAATAATAGAAAGTTGGCAGAGCACGTCACAGAATAGAAAGTATTTGATAAAAATAGCATCTGTTCAGCTTGGGACTCGAGCCGGAGCTGCATGGAAATTTAATTTATTCCTTCCTCGAGTATTCCCATTCGAGTATCACAATTCTGTCTTTCTCATTAATGAGAGAAGTTGAAAACGTTGCTTCCTGTGACCAAAATGGCTTTCTTTCCCAAGGGCTGATGGCGGAGGCGGCGACGGCGCAGCTGAGCGGGCGGCCAGCAGGGGGCGCGGCCCCGCCGTCCTCACATCCATCCGGGACACGGAGGGGCGGGGCGCCCCTTACACAGCCTGCGAGGGGCGACCCGGGAGAAGGTTTTCCAAACAAGCGGCTTTGCTGACTCCCGGGGCCTAAGAATAACCACTGTGAGTATCATGACGCCGGCGGCCTCAGTAAAAGTCTGGGTAGACAGAGGCTTCCCTGTCGCTCAAGGAGCTCCCAGGGCTTTCTAGGCTTCCCGTTCTCCTCCTGTTTCCCAGGACCCAACGGAGTGCCCCCTGCAGGTCAGGATGGGAACCGACACCTGGCCTTTGTCAAAACGCATTCCAGCACCCTGTGAATTACTGTCCTCATGCCTGTCACCTCTCCATCTCCAGCTCCAGCTCCTTCCAGCCCTGGCTCCTTAGAGCCCTGCTCTGGGCAAAGTGGCCTTAACAAGAAAGCTGAGCCAAACTAATAATAGTTTGGCTATTGATCAGGCAGCCCCTTTAAATCACCCAGTGTTTTGTTTAATTGCAGAAAAATACACATAACATAAACTTCTGCATTTTAAATGTAGGGTTAGTTTAGTGGTGTTAAGTTCATTCACATTCTTGTGCAGCTATCCCCACCATCCGTTTCCGGTTCTCTTTTCATCCTCTTAGGTTTAAACTCCACACTTAGTATACAGTAACTTCCCATTCCCCTTCCCCCAGACCTGGCAGCCACCACTCTGCTTTCTGCCTCTGAATTTGACTAGGTACCTCCTATATATGGGATCATACTGTATTTGTCCTTCTGTGGCTGGCTCGCTTCACTTAGCATAGTGTCCTCAAGGTTCACCCATGTTGTAGTGTGTGTCAGAATTGCCTTCCTTTTGGGGTGAATAATACTGTACGTATATACCACATTTTATTTGTCCATTCATCTGTCAATGGACACCAGGATTGCTTTCACCTTTTTGGCCATTGTGAATAACGCTGCAGTGAGCATGGGTGTCCTTTTCGAGATTGTTTTGACCTGCTTGTATTTTAACAGGACACTTTAGGAAGGTAATCCCAACAGAATAGTTCAAGGTCTGAGGAAAGCTGATGGGAACTATTTTAGGAAGAAGCAGATTAATGTCCTTTGCATCAAACCATATCACCTACATAGGGGGCTGCCCCAGGATATGTGTTCTGATATCATGCATTTTGTATTTCCTCACTTAAAAGGATAAGAAGTGGTGCCCAGTGGAGGGAAAATGTTTCTGACTGTAAACAACTTCCAAGCCACTTGGCGCTGGGAATCTTTGATAGCCGTAGATTGTCAGGCAGTGATACTGGGAAGCCAGAGAGTGACGCAGATATGAGCAGGCTTTGGTGTCAGACCTAGCAAACATGTCTCCCGACATGAGCTTCAAATGTCTTTGCGGGCGGACTCTTCGGGGTCCTTGCTGATTCAGCTTCTATCCGCCCCCCTATGCTTTCCTGTGCCTTCAGCTCTTAATTTTTCCCCATCACCATTGCAATATGCTCAAGTAGTTAACAAAACAAATTAATACAGAGAAAGCACAACCCTCCCTTAAGCCCTGCCTCCCTTCAGTTCCCATCCTTCCTCTCTCTCTCCTGCTGTAGCCTATCTTCTTGAAGGAATCATCTTCACTTGCCACTTCCACATCCATACTCCCGTTCACTCTTGAACCCGGTGCTCTCCTGGCACTGGATTCTGAGGGTTTCTGATGTGGCATCTTGGTTCAAGCTTCTGATGGGAACTCAGCCCCCTGTTGAAGTCAAAAGCGCTGCATCCTGAGAAGTCTTCGCACCTGGCTTCAGAGGCGGTTCCTAGAATACCAGGAGATATATGTATATATATATTCTTCCTCATCAAGAGAAGGCCTAACAAGAACTTTTGTAAGTCATCTTTCCTGGCAATGGAGTATAGAGGTTAGAGGACCAACTATATCATCATCCACAGTTTGATATGAGCCCCAGCCCTGCCAGTTGCTAGCTGGGTGACTTTGGGCAAGTTACTTAAGTTCTCTGTGCCTTCTTACCCTGCCTCTAACATGGCGATCATCCCAGCACCTACCTCATAGGCCTATTAGGATAAGTAAATAATGCATGTTAAGAGCTGAGCACAGGGCATGGCTCACAGGAAACATTTCATTAGGGTTAACTCGTGACTACTTTTTATTGGCATAATACTTAAAGGTTTTAAAAGGTTGACCTTAGTAATTAAGTCTATCTTGATTTTCTTGCCTGTAAAATTTGAATGAACAAATGTGGTAAGACTAAAGGGTTCACTGCAAATTTTCTAGAGAATAATTGGTTCCGTAAGTGATCAGAAACATTTACTAAGGATAACATGAGGAATGACAGGGAGAAACATCACATAGGACGAATGAAAAGGCAGAATCTCTGAATGGAGAAGAACACTCCTGGATATTGTGAGATAAACCAAAAAATGGGAGAGTGTGATTGAACTTGTGCATCAGTGATTAGCATTGGATAGGATTAGCATGCATAAACACAGACTGTTTTTGGAAAACAGACCCTTGAAAAGCTCTCAGAACTAAAATATGATAATAGTCAACACAGTCTGGCCACCAGATGAGGTATTCTGCTGTTTGATAAATTTTATAAAACTGCAGACCTTATTTTAAACTATGTGGAACTATTCCAAGGACTGATTGCAAAGTACATGAATAGGTATGTGAGTCTGATAAAATAGCTGAAATAAGGACAGGAATGGAAGGACATTGAAGTAAAATTGGCACGTGTTGTTCCACATCTAAAGGCTGGAAGCCATTTGGGCAGAGGCAGAATCTGGGCTCAGAGTCTAGCCCTGCAGGATCCAGTGTGGCAGCTGCGTGTCTCTGGAGCACTGGAAAGGAGGCCACTGCAAATTAGGATCTGCTGTAAAGGTAAGATACACACTAAGTACAAAAACAAGAATGTAAAATATATCAGAGATTTTAAAAATTGATTACAAAAGGCCGGGCGCGGTGGCTCAAGCCTGTAATCCCAGCACTTTGGGAGGCCGAGACGGGTGGATCACGAGGTCAGGAGATCGAGACCATCCTGGCTAACACGGTGAAACCCCATCTCTACTAAAAAATACAAAAAACTAGCCGGGCGAGGTGGCCGGCGCCTGTAGTCCCAGCTACTCGGGAGGCTGAGGCAGGAGAATGGCGTGAACCCGGGAGGCGGAGCTTGCAGTGAGCCGAGATCCGGTCACTGCACTCTAGCCCGGGCGACAGAGCAAGACTCCGTCTCAAAAAAAAAAAAAAAAAAAAAAAAAAAAAAAAAAAAAAAAAAAAATTGATTACATACTAAAGAGTGTTAGCACAGTAACTCACACATACTAAGCACTCAAGATAGGTAGTCTGTTTTTTTCTGTTGTTGTTGAAACACAAACAACTGAGAGCTTATTATATGTCAGTATCCTAGGTAAGGCAATGCTTGAAGATACCCTCACAGTCTGTCAAATGGAAGAGGAAAATAGTCCCACTTTTTAGACAGGTGATTCTCAAATGGGAGAATTTTGCCTCCCAGGGCCATCTGGTGATGTCTGAGACATATTTAATTATCAAAACCCGGGGGAGGTGGCTACTACTGGCATCAAGTAGGTAGAGGCCAGGGATGCTGCTAAAATCCTATAATGTGCAGGACAAGCTACCCCCACAACAAAGAATTGCCAGGTCAAAATATCAATCGGGCCCAGGTTGAGACATCCTGCATTAGTGACTCTTGATCACTTACAGATGTGACTGATTAATAATCAAGCTCAGCAAGTGTGTGGTAGGAGAATTACAAATGTTATCCAAAGAGGCATCTTCTGGCCAGCAACATTGGTGTCACCCAGAATTTACTAGAAGAGCAAATTCTCAGGTCTACCCCAATTCTACTGAGTCAAATCTCTGGGGGTGAAGCCCCTATATCTACAGTTTAACAAGCCTTCCAGGTGATTCTAATACAAGCCAAACTCTGAGAAGTGCCGCTCCACTGCCCCTGTGTCCTGGTTACCAACTCCTGCTCATTCCGGGCCTGAGCGATAGGTGGCAGTGAATCGCAGAACAGTGTTGGAACGGCTGCTAAATGCTGAGAAGGGACTGGCTTGCACCAGATTGGTTGGTGATGGAGCTGGTGACAATTGCTCCAGTGTTCTTACACTAGCCCATAGTTCATGATGCCAGCTTTCTCGTTTCAGGAAAGTTCAGGGAACAAATCCAAACATGGTTCAAAGCCATTCTAAGGACCCTTCTTAGTCACGTGGTGTTTCCAAGGCTTTGAGATTGTTTACTTCTAACTCATGTTTCAAAGGTGTATCCTTCAATAGAGAATTTTGTGAGTATCTGGTTTTGGACTCTTCTCCTAAGACACCTTCCCAACCTACAAAATCCCAAAGTCATGAGAACAAATAATTTCTGCGGTCCTTGGACACCTTTTGGGCCAAGTATTTGACGCATCTCACACTGAGCGGGCCCTTGGCCCCTCCTCTACAGTGGACCAGATCGGGCGAATGGTGAACATCCCGTTTCCCTGGATCTTTTGTCAGGCAGATAAAATTCAGTGTTTGGCAAACTTTGTTAAGGCTGAGAGTGAGGTCACTGCAGTTCAGGTAATTTTCTATTTGGGCCACAAGAGGACACCCTCCACTCAGCCATGAGCATCTACAGTCTCCATAAAGCTCCGAGGTGGGTTGAATGAGTGCTGGATTAGGAAGAGGAAACAGTCGCTAGAAAGGGAGGGGATGTCACTTTCCTTCTAGTAGAGTGGCAGGATGATGTGGCTTTGGATCAGACCTCAGCTCTGAAGTCTAGAGCTGGGTTTCTCAAAGTGTGGCTGCCCGACCAGCTGTATCCTCATCACCTGGGAACTTGTTAGAAAAGCACATTCTGGGGTCCCAGCCCAGACCTGCTGAATCCGGAGCTCTGGGCGTGGAGCCCAGCAGTCTCTGGTTTAACAAGCCCCCTCCCCTCCCAGGTGATTGCCATGTTTGCTCCCTCTCGATAATGGCTACTCTCTCCTCCAGAGCATCTTCCTGGTTATTCTCTGGGACGCAAAAGCATGGTGGTATCTGATCTCATCACACTTCTGCCAGGAGGTGAAATCGAAGAGCATACAGGTCATTTGCCTGAGGACACCTGGGGATTCTGAGGTCAGTCATTCTGTATGAATATGTGCAGTCCCTGGGCTCAGCCCTGGGCTGAAGGCTCTGAGGGATGTAAGGAGCACTAAATAGTAATAATTTGTCAGCCTTCACAGAGCTTCCAGTCCTCTGTAAAAGGCAGGGTTGCCGCCTAGAAACAGACCAAAGAGGGCCCACACGACATGGTTCTGATAGCTATGGGTAAATACAAGGAAGCTGGGAGCCGCGCAATGCTGCACACGTCCCCTCCCCAGCTTCCTCTCCCATTCCCTCCCACCCAGCTGCTGTTGCAGGGCCTCCTGCCTTCTTTTTCACTCTCAACAGCACACCCTAAGTTTGCCCTCATTTTAATTTCCTTTTCCCCTTATCTCCCATACCTCTTGTCCAATCTCTCCCCATCCCATTCTGGTTTTGTTGTAAATCACAAAATTTCAGGAACAGGCCCAGCAAGGACAGAAGCCCCAAGGGGCAGGGGAAAAGGAGAGAAACTGCATAGATAAGAACAGGCTTCTTTTCAGAGTAAAGACTGAGAAGACACAGCCATACTATAATAGTAGTTACCCTTGTCCGAAGGGCAGTGCAAGCCTGGAAAAGGGAGACCACCTGTGGGCTAGGGAGTGGGGAAGAAGCTCATTAGGGTGTCTGGACATGAGCTAAACCTTCACAGGGCAGGGGGACTTGGGAAAGCAGAGGGGAGGGAGAGCCCGTGCCAGCCCCATAGTGGGGAGGAGCTGGGGTGGGAGGGGGGCAGGGGGCAGCCTGGTGGGGAGGGAGGATGGATGGGGAGTCATAGGAAATGAGGCGAGATGGGTTCCCAGATGGAAGAGGGAGCAGTTAAAGTTTGATTTTTATGATAGACACACCAAAGAGGTATGAGGAGGTTCTGAGCAGAGGAAAACTGTGTATATTATTATTGTGAAGACTTCATCTCTTGCTGAGGTCACAAACTCAAATGCTTATAGCATGAAGCAGGCCAGGTAAGAAGCAAGAGGACCTGGAGGGGTCGCGTGAGCTGGAGAGCACATATCTGCTCTGAAGTGGGCAGTGATACACAAATCCTGACAGTTATTACCACAGGAAGTAGAAGCTCAGAGTTGCCAAGTCATCCAGTTTTTCAACAGAAGTTGGATCTCTGGATTTCTTTCTCATGATGTAAAGTTTCTTCATTTGTAAATAGGCAGCTCATTGAAAATTAAAAAAATCTGTACACCTTTGGGTGGTAACTTCTGACCTGCATTTTAAAAAATTGGACCTGGTGGTTTGCACCTCAGTATAAAATATTATGACCATTGTTTCTTCTCAGTTTCCTCCCTCACCCCTTTCTAGCAAATCCATTTATTATGAACAAAAAATAAGATAACATCCAAGCATGAACGATGTACTGTTTTCAACACTGCACACGAATTATCTCATCCTCACACAACCCTGTAAGATTAGCTACTCCCACTCTATGGATGAGAGAATTGGGTTCAGAGAGGTAAAACAACTTGCTCCAAATCTCACTAGTTTCAAGTGAGGGAGCCAAGACTCAAGCCCAGGTGGTCAGACTACAGGGTCATGCGTTCAGCCTGTGTGTTATATCCTTCCCTGTATTCTTTGGTGACCATATTTCAGTTGTCTTTTTCCCTCTTCCCAGTATGACATTTGTGAGGTTGTATTTTCCTTCTTGTGTTAAAATATTAGGTTGCCTGTCTTTATTGCCCATGCCCTGGTGCCTGAGGCCTGTGAGTCAGCTGTGCTCGGTCTGGCAAGCATCCATGGAGGACCCGCCATGCGCCGTGCATCGTGGTGGCGCCAGCTGTCCAATTTCATGAAACTCCATTTTAATGAAGGATACTGACAGATAGAAACCAAAAATTCCAACCTAATACGGGATATCATGTTGAGACAAAGACGTCTTTGGTATGCACTGCGATCATACAATGGAGTCATAAATGTGGAGGAGGTGTGGGTCAGGGAAGACTTCCTGGGAGAAACGTCCTGAGGGCTAAGTCTCAAAGAACTCTGAGGAACACCAGGTTCAAGAGGCCAGACATTAGAAGTCAGAGGGGTGCAGGGAAGGTCAGCAGAGTGGTGATAAGGCAGCAAGAAGGAGCCCTGGATGGTAGGGTTGAGCCTACCTGAGACAGCTGATGGATAGGAGGAAGGGACCAGTCAGAGGGGCTGGGGAGTCACAACCTGACATTGTGTATGCTGATTCAGTGTCTACACGCTCAGTGCCAGGCCATGGGGAAGACCCCACAGAGAGGGTAAGGCTTGTTGTTCAAGTGGATGGATGAGAGGCTCTACCCCTCATTAGTTGTGGGGCCTTAGGCAGGCTGCTTTGCTTCCGGGAAGCTGGGTTTCCTCACCTGTAAAATGAACTCGAACTTATTCGGCTTAGTGAGTACTGAATAAGAAGATGCTGGTGCCAAGTCTAGCACAATGCCTGACCCCAGCAATCATTCAGACAATGTTTGTGATTACTATCATTTCTGACACTTAGTAAATGTTTGTTGAAGGAGTGAAAGGGAGCAATGGCTTAGGTGACCCCAGCGGCACCCAGTGCAGTTGGGAGATCAGATCATCTGCTAAGCTTGAGCCTGGCCCATGCTTTCCACTTGTCTTACAAGGACTGGGAAATAGGGGTTACATTAGTTTGAGGGAGACTTCAACTTTAACATAAACTCCAAGTGACGCCATCCAGTCCACCGGAGAAGCAGCGTGCTTCAACAGGCAAGTCTGACCACAGAGATTGCAGCTGAATCAGCTGTAACTCGGAGCTGAGGCTGATAATTTTCTGAGGCTTGTCTGCACGCCTGTGAATCTTGCGTTCCTGTAGGTTACATCATTCTATCCAGGTGCAGATAGTCCTACCGACGGACTATTCCCCGGCAGCTGCAGCAACCTGGCACCTGGCACCTGGCATGGAGGAGCCCATCTGGTGGCGATATGCAGCCACTCAGGACTCGTGCCAGCCATGCTGGCTCCTGGGTGACGGGCAGATACGGCTGCGACTGCCTTGCTTACTAACCCAAATAGCACAGAGCGGGACAGTCTTCCAGCCAGGTGGGTAGCTCCAGGAGGCCACATTAACCTTGGAGATTCCTACCATACCCAGGAAAAGAAAGAGAAGCTGCGTACAATTCTTACAATCATGCTTGTCATTTCTGTAGTCCTTTTTGTTTAAGGATCTCAGCCGCTGGGGCACGTGCAAGTTTTCCTTCAGTTTCTGTGCCAGCAATAATGTGCCTTGATTTTCAGGCAGTTATAAGTGGCCAGAGAGAAAGAGGACCTTAAAAGTATAAGCCTGGCTTATTTTTTCTGAAATGAGATAATTTCTGCAGCAGTGGGTCCCAAACTCAGCTGTGTGCCGGTTTTTTCCGGGGGATATGACACACACGGGGCTGCCAGTTCTGAATCAGTAGGTGTGTGGCCAGCCCCAAACACCTGCGTTATTAACCAGCTCACAGGGTGGTCCCCTAACTGGCTGCCTCCAATCCCCTGAGGACTTGTTAAAAATGCAGGTCCCTTGGCCATACCCCAGACCCACTATATAGACAGCTCTATCTAGGGTGTGGATGGATGGAGTTTCACTCTTGCTACCCAGGCTAGAGTGCAATGGCATGTTCTCGGCTCACCACAACCTCCACCTCCCGGGTTCAAGCGATTCTTCTGCCTCAGCCTCCAGTGTAGCTGGGATTTCAGGCGCCTGCCACCACGCCTGGCTAATTTTTTTGTATTTTTAGTACAGACGGCGTTTCACGGTGTTGGCCAGGCTGGTATTGAACTCCTGACCTCGTGATCCACCCGCCTCAGCCTCCCAAAGTGTTGGGATTACAGGCGTGAGCCACTGGGCCCGGCCAATGGCTTCCTTTTTAACAAGTGACTTTTGCCACAGGTCCCTCAGCGGCTCTTGAACACAGTCAAGCTTTAGAGCTGCTGCCATTTGTGATTCTGACGCACTGTATTTGACCACTACTCCAGAACAATTATGCTTGAATTTCTGTCCTGCAGACCCCAGATTTTTTTTCCCTGACTCAACTAGACTGTCCTCAGCAGCCAAGAGAAGTGTTGTTGGCCAACATAACACAAAAGAGGCAAAGAAAGTAGAAAAGTGATGTAATCTGAAGCCACGTGGAGTCTGAGGCGAAGGAATTGTGATGGAAAAACACCAGGGATCCTCACCTTGACTATGACCCAGCTTTGAGAGTTGAAATGGAGTGTGTGAAAAGACACTGGGCAGTTCTTTGGCGAACGGGCTAGTTGGAATTAGTAACCTTCTCCTTGGAGAAGCTTCTGCCACTGCTTGTAGGTTTGCTTGGCTTTTGTACTTTTTTTTTTTTTTTTTTTGAGACAGAGTCTTGCTCTGTCACACAGGCTGGAGTGCAGTGGTGCCATCTAAGCTCACTGCAACCTCTGCCTCCCAGGTTCCAGCATCCTCCCGCCTCAGCCTCCCAAGTAGCTATGACTACAGGTATGTACCACCATGCCCAGCTAATTTTTGTATTTTTAGTAGAGACAGGATTTTGCCATGTTGGCCAGGCTGGTCTCGAATTCCTGGCTTTAAGTGATCTGCCTGCCTTGACCTCCCAAAGTGCTGGGATTACAGGCATGACGCACTGTGCCTGGCTGGCTTTTGCACTCTTCTGGGCAGTCTTGGGGCAGGGACTGTGTAAGCAGGGAGTTTGGAAACTTGGATCCCAAAGGTCAGAGGCAGAGTCTGACCTCCAAGGGAGAGGAGAGGTACAGTCTGCGGATCTGGGAAGCGTTTCAGGACAGGCTTTGCTGCCAGCCCCCAGGAGCCTTCCTCCCCTGCGGGGAGCCAGTACAGAGGCGTTCTCCAGGAACCCAGCTGGCCAGACAATGCCACTCTGTTCCTGAGTTTGCTGGCACCCAGGCGGTTAACCCAGAAGCCGCCTCTGTGCCCTTTAGGGCAGGCAAGTTTTAAAGCTCTCCTTTCAACTTTGGCCCAACAACATCTTATAGGGTAAGAAGATGCACTTTCCTCCCCCAGGGCGCTGTTTTTCAGTATTCTTTGACACGAGGTCCTCAAGAGGGTATCTTTTCTTCTTCTGCAGCTGATGATCCCTGGGAGAATTTTTTTCTTTCTTTTTTCTTTTTTTTCTTTCTTTTTTTTAGAGATAGGGTCTTTCTCTGTCACCCAGTCTGGAGTGCAGTGGCTCAGGCATAGCTTACTGCAGCCTTGAATTCCTGGGTTCAAACCATCCTCCCATCTCAGTCCCCCAAGTAGCTGGGATTACAAGCAAAAGCCACCATACTCAGCCCCTGGGAGAATTTTTACATCTTCAGAAGAATTCTCCTGGGAACTCTTGAGATGAAAATAACACATGTCCACTCAGCACTATAAGCCAGGAACATGCAAAGTGTCTTTCTCCCACCCCATGGTGGCCAGAGATCAAACAGCCATCCCGGAAGGCCAGATACTGGAGACATTTAAAAAAAATTGTTTTAAAATTTATTTTATTATATTCCATATCATGTCAAAATTTAAGACAGCTTTAGGCTGGAGGGCTCATGCCTGTGATCCCAGCACTTTGGGAGGCTGAGATGGGTGGATTGCTTGAGCCTAGGAGTTTGAGACAAGCCTGGACAACATGGCAAAACCTCGCCTCTACAAAAAGCAAAAAAAATCAGCTGGGCGTTGTGGCACATGCCTATAGACCCAGCTACCTGAGAAGCTGAGGTGGGGTGGAAGGATCGCTTGAGCCCAGGAGGTCAAGGCTGCAGTGAGCTGTGTTCATGCCACTGCACTCCAGTCTGGGTGACAGAGTGAGACCGTCTCAAAAGACGGCTTTAAAATTGCATACAGTGTATCTCAAGAAGAGGAATAACAACAAAGAGAAATAAAGGAAGGGGAACCGATGAAATTAGGTAGAGGTTGATACATGAACTCCTGGCACACTTACTAAAGACAGCATGCAGATTTTTTGTTTTTTTTGTTTGAGACGGAGTCTCACTCTGTCATTGAGGCTGGAGTGCAGTGGCATGATCTCGGTTCACTGCAACCTCTGCCTCCTTGGTTCAAGCGATTCTCCTGCCTCAGTCTCCCATGTAGCTGGGACTACAGGAACGTGGCACCATGCCCAGCCAATTTTTTATATTTTTAGTAGAGACAGGGTTTCGCCATGTTGTCTAGGCTGGCCTTGAACTCTTGACCTCAGGTGATCTGCCCGCCTCACCCTCCCAAAGTGCTAGGATTATAGGCGTGAACTACCACACCCAGCGGGTTCTAAGCTTTTTAGCAAGGGAAGAAGTGGTCAGGCTTAAATATAACCCAAGTGACATCAATTCCTTTACCCTTTCCTTTATTATTTTTTAAATCTATCATTTATTGAGCTTCTACTATGTGCCAGGTACTCTCTGAGGCATGGAGGATACAGCCACAATAAAAATGAAGCCCCTATCTCCATGTAGCTCACTCTCCAGGTGGGAGAGGGAAACAATGTGCAAGTAAACAATGCCACACAGGATAATCATATGTCAGGTGGTGCTAAGTGCTAAATGAAAATGACCACAGCATGCCCAGGAATGGAAAGTGACTGGGGAGAGGTGTGGCCATTTTAGACAGGGGCACTAGGGAAGCCCCCCAGGGACTGGCGTTTGGGCAGCAACCTAAAGATGGAGGTGGGGAGCTGCACCAATGTATGGGAGAAGAGTATCAGGCAGAGGACAGTGTGTGCAAAAACCACAGAGCATGAGAGTCATAGATGTCTGTGGAACTCGCAAAAAGACAGCGTGGCCCAAGCACAGTGAAAGGGGAGGCCCAGAAGGGGTAGGAAGTTCACGGCACCCTGGGGATTTGTGCAACATAGCAGCCCTGGGGAGGAGATGAGGTCAGGAGGAGAATGAGACTCTCCAGGCCATGGCTATAGGGCAGGAGGCAGTATGATTTCAAGAGA